AAAACTTTCATAGTAAATACCTTGACCTTCACTCCTTGAGTTGTTCTGTAAGCAATGAAGCTTTCACATGCTGTTTATCCAGTTTAAAGTAACTGTTTTTATGTCAGTTAGAAAGCACCTCAAATTACTGTGGAACACAATTCCAGCAGAGTGAGTTGGATTTTTGATTCATAACATAATGCATTCATTTTTGGCATACAAAATGAGAGTGCTTTTGTTCGGTTACAAAACTAGCACAAGCTCTGTTCTTTCATCTTGCAAAATTAAATTAGGTGTAACTCTATTATTTCTACATTTACTGGCAATCAAAGAGAAAGACATCCTGAATGATGGCATTCTTATGCTGTCATAAATTGTAATAAAGGTTTAGATTGACATTTCTAGTTAAATAAAAGGTCACCTAGTCTTTTTTTTTTCCTTCTAATTGCAAAGTTGATAGTCTTGTTTAACTTCAAATAATTTCTGCAAGAAATCAAGTTTGTCTTACAATCACAGAATGATGGAATGGGTAAGGGTAGAAGGGACCACTGGAGGACATCTGGTCCAACCTCCCTGCTCCAGCAGGATCATCCTACAGCACATGGCACAGGATTGCATCCAGACCATTCTTGAGTATCTCCAGTGAGGGAGAGTCCACAACCTCTCTGGGCAGCCTGTTCCAGTATAGCACAGTCACTTGCACAGAGAAGAACTTCCTTTTCATTCTCGTGGAACTTAGGAAGTTACTGCATCATTTCTGCCCATTGCCTTGTCCTATTGCTAGGCACATTGAGAAGAGCCTGGCTCCATCCTCTTGACACCCTCCCTGCAGATACTTACAGACATTAAGAGGTCCCCTCTCAGTCATCTCTTTTGAGGCTGAACAGGCCCAGTCCCCTCAGCCTTTCCTCATAAGAGATATATACTCCAGTCCCTTAATCATCTTAGTTGCCCTCCACTGGACCCACTCCAGGAGCTTCGTTGTCCCTCTTGTCCTGAGAAGAACAGAATGGGACACAGCACTGCAGGTGCTCACCAGGGCTGAGCAGAGGGGCAGGATCACCTGCCCCAACCTGCTGGCAGTGCTCTTCCTAATGCATCCCAAGACGTCATTGGCCTGCTTGGCCACATGGACACACTGCTGCCTTGTGAACTTTCTATACACCAGAAGAACCTGAGATTCAAATAATGTAAGCCTGTGAGAACTAAATGATGACTGACCATTTAGGCCTGCACTAGGGTGAGGATGTTTTTCTTAATATGTACTACATCAACCCACTGTCTAATTACAATTACAGATTTTTTTATTTCAGACCCATTTAATGTACAATGAGATGTACACCAGAAGGTGTTTTAAAGTTTGGCTGAATGTACAATCCCATCATTTGGAGAGTAAGTGAGAAGATACGTTAATGTAAGTTTAGCAGTGTGGCCGTTTAGATTGGTCCTAGACTTTGAAACTGACAAAATCAAGATTAGTCAGCAGGATTTCTCAACTTAAATTCAGCATCTTAATCAAACCCACTGTTTCTAGGCAATTGATCTGCAAAGTTATCAGCAATTTTCCTGTTAGATTTCATGAGACAGTAAGGGAGTAAGATATCCCAGGCAAGACGGGATACAAACATCTTATGGGCAGACCCTTCAAAAATAATCTCTTCCTTATCTATTTTCCTGCTGAAGATTGGCAATGATGACTGTGAAAATATTTTTGAAGGGCCTTGATTAAAATCATATGCATTGAAATAAAAACTAAGTAAGAAGTGTAATCTTCCCATAATATGAAAGTGGGAGAATCTAAGCCTCAGCAAGAGAGAATTTTAAGCTGTTCGATCATACTCAGGACATACACACAAAAAGGAAAAGAGTATGTCGCACAACCAGACATCACATATGAAGGAAGGTGTGGAAACCACTTTCATTTAATAGATGGAATAGAAGAGAATACTTAGGTAGCAAATCCCTTTCAGAAACTTACTGTGCCCTTAAACAGAAAAACTATTTTCACAGCTTTCAAAAATGAGGAACATTAATTACACAATTCAGAAGATACTTCCAAGTCTGATGACCAGATGAGTCAAATTCAGCATATACGGGAATGACATTTTGCTGAATTCACAGTATGGCTGATATTAAATCTCACACTGTTTTTGGACAATTTGGCCGTAGGTGAAAATTGGGAATAAAAGAGAAGGAAAGAACAGGTTAGTAATGCTGAAAAATCAACTACTGACATTGCCATGTTCTTTGGTAAGAAGTAAACCTGACTTCAATGTTTTGTCAATTCTTAACTGAAAGTTTTTAACTAGAAAGGAACCCACAACCCTCCCTCCCAGCACCCATCCATGCTGCGTTGACTAAAATAGTTCATGGAGCTACAGACAGTTTTTCCCAGATCATAGCACTGAATAGCAGTTATCTTAATTTCTTTAGCCTTGTGTCATTTTTTTGTCTTAAGATCAAATTTTTTAAAAAAGTTTCATTTTTATTTTCACAGGCAGTGATACTCATTGAACAGTGTTTGCAAATATATTCTCTAGGTGTGTGCTGGGTAGCACCATAGCAGGGTAGAAATAGAACCCATATCCAACCACAGAGCTGCAAGCCTGCAGCATTAAGCAATATCCTTTAGTCTGCCTGCTTTTAAAAAAGTTTCCAAGCATTGAGTAATGTGGCTGTTCAGACAAAGATGGGCTCTGGAGGGAAACCCCCCCCCGCCCACAAAACCCCCAATAAAAACTATTACAGACCCTTCATCATACAAATAATAAGCACATGTAAGAGAAACTATTCATAGAATGGTGGTTGTTGGAAGGGACCTTAAAGATCATCTACTTCAATCTGCCTGCTGTGGGCAGGGACACCTTCCACTAGACAAGGTTAGTCAGAGCCCCATCCAGCCTGGTTTTGAACACCTCCAGGGATGGGGAGTCCACAGCTTCTCTGGGCAACTTGTTCTAGTGCCTCACCACCCTCACAGAAAAGAATTTCTTCCTTATATCTAATCTAAACCTACTCTCCTTCAGTTTAAGGCCATTTGCCCTTGTCATATTGCTACAAGCCCTCGTGAAAAGTCCCTCTCCAGCCTTCTTGTACTTACATACTGGAAGGCCTAGTTAAACCACAGCTAGAAAAACACTTTACACAGTAGATTTAATGGAGGTACTACAGAAGGTATGCCTTTGCTTGCATTAAAAGCTCTGATTCTCTCAAATGTATGCTGACCAGCTGCACTTGAAGCAGAAAAACAGGGCCTAAAAGCGTTACGCTGATGAACTGGCTTAGATTAAGCAGCAAATATAACTTGAGACTAAAGTATTACTCTCCTTAGAAGAGCTCTTCAGGAGTCAGGCAACTCATATTGCTAGCTTTACACTACTCGAAAGAGTTCTCCTTGTCAGTGGACTGTTTCTCTCGGGATTTTGCAGCATCTGTGATAAGTTTATGTTTGACAGCAAAAGCATTGGTCTGGAAATGGTCTCTGTGAGGATTCACTACTCTGAAGTCTCTTTTGCCCTCAGCCTCTACTGGTCCCATGTCTTCTTTTACCTACATATTCTGCCATATGATTTCCACTTTCATATCTTTTGTTTACATGTCCTTGTACTCACCTGCTACATGCTGAATAACTCAAATACAAATATCTCAGTGCACTTAAGAAAATGCAAGTGGAAATCTTTATTTTTAAAGGACACATTATCTTCTTTCCAGCTCTGTAAATGGGTGAGGCCTGGGGCTGGAGAGAAATCATTTAGGACTGATTCAAACCATATGAGATCTTACGTGTTGGCAAATTCACCAATTACTGCCCTTTCTGTTTCAGCTTACAGATATCAAAAATTTTATATCTATGCTAATTACAAGCGGTTTTTCATTTCCCAAGAACACTTATATTAACTGCTTAGGGAAACAAAATCACTTGTGATTACATTACAGGGTTACAACAGCTAACAAGAATTCAAGATGGGATTTATTTTTTGGTTAGGGAGGAGGGCGAGAAGACAACAGGCAGGAATTCTACTTTCCTATCACACTTTCTTAGGCAGATTTGGTCAAAAAATACGAAGCCAGATTTTGGCCACCAAAAGCTAGCATTTTCCCCAGAATGCTCATCAAATATTTAAGTATCAAGGACAAAATAAAGAATTACACATGGGGACTTCATATCTAGTCTTTAGAGAATAAGTACTTTGCTGAAAGCTGCCAATTCAGTCTAAACTGAATTAGATTTTTCTCCCTACAATTTCTCTAAATTCAGAGATTGGTAATAGCATAATTTACACTAAATTTGCTGAGTGCTCTAGTCCTAGTCTTGAGGCACGTGCAGTCATGAAGTATATACACGAGACTTCAGATTCTTCAAGATGTGCTAGGCTTGGACTGGATGGCAGACAATTAAATGCCTGCCAGATTGGCTGAGAATTTTAGATCAGAAAGAGGGGCTGCACTCCCCACATCACCCAAATATTTGTATCTATTGCTTTAGACTAATGTCTGTTTACCAGCAACCCTGAATTTTGGATGCCAGAATAAAAGGGTCTAAACTAGTGCTGTGTAACACAGAGAAGGACAAGCAAAGGAGTCTGAAAGAAACGCAATCTAGAAGTTGAGAAACAGGAAGCTGAAAGCAGACCATCTTTTTCGGCTGCTATTTAAATTTTTTAAATCTTTGTGCAAATAATATGAATTTGAATCCTAATGCTCAAAGAGTACAGTATGGTAAAAGAGAAAACAAAAGAATTCTCACAGATGAGGCCCCAAGTCTGTCATCACTGATATCTCACATCCCCGCCTCAAAGAACGCAGCAGTCACCAGATGCGGTATTGGCTCTGAGTTGCAGAACAGATTTTCACCCCACTGAAAATAAGAACTTCTGCCCTACACAGGGGAAGGGTGTACTTGTTGTTGAAGATATGCACTAACCTTCTTAAAATACTTTTGATATGAAAATAAGACATTATTAGCTGCACAATTATAAGACAAGAAAAAACCCAAAGCAGTAGACAAGAACACAGGGGAATTTAAGAGAGTACAGCTGTAATGACATTTATTAAAAGACATGCTATAACAACTAGTTAGGAAAAGAGCTAGGTATAGGTACTAAATAATCAGAAAACACACTAACCTAAACAAACAGAATATATTACAGCATAACCAAATTCACCATGCACTACACAGTCCCAAAATAGGTTTCTTTAATACATCTTATATCTTCTTTCAGTTTTAAGTCATCTCAACAGACATGGAATACTTTTCAAGCAATGCCATAAGATACTTTACAAATGAAAGCTGTTGCTTATTAAAATATACAGACAATCTTTTTTATATAAAAACAGTTTACATTCCCATTTGTTCCCCCAAACACTTTTTTGCCAGGTTAAAAAAAACCAAAACAAAACACGATGTTACAAATATTTACAGTATTTTCTTGTGGTAGATGAACATTTTTATAAACTGAAAGGGAACACTTATGAACAGATCATGTAAAATGAGGGAATGACAGCAATTCTTAGACATGTTTCTGTGTCTTGAATACAGTACTAAAAGTAGTCCATTAACCTTTTGCCTTATCTCACACCATTTGGTTCACATTACAATCTCATTTTCCATTGTTTCAATCACCAATAGAAGTCTCAAACAAAGTCCACTTGGCATTGGGTCTTCCCATCAGAAAGGAGTGTGAGAGAAAAAGGTTTTTCACATGTCTCAGTAAAACCAGAACAGTCTTTGGTCAGAGAGTGAAATGACATTCCGATTGATGCAAGAATCTGCTTGGTTAACAACCTTGGTCTTGTGTTGCTGCAGTTCTAGGGTGAACTTTTGCAGTAAGTGTAAAACATATTCAAAATTAATTGGAAAGTGCTTAGAAGGAAGTTTATGCATGGTAGCTTCCCACTCATAAATATTGTAGAGTTTCTGAGACCCGAGAAACTGCTTACAATGAAGACATTAGTCTGCCAAGGTAAAAGCTTTCTTCATTTAGACCTTCAACTATTTCTTTTCTTTGGGACTGCTCCAGGTACCTGTTATTATTACCTAAAGTTGGAAATACATGGGTTATGCTTGGATTCCTGCATATTGCAGTACAAAAGAAAAAACTGCAATGGAAAAGGCAGGGGGATAATTAAATCTGTATTGAAACAGCTGTAATTCACTTCATACAGGTAATTCACTTCATATATAGTCAGTGGACAACAATAATTTCTAACAATATAAATATACAATTTCCAGAAGGGGAAATATATTTATTATAATTAAGACAGCAACAGATATGAAAAACCCTACATATAAAACTTCTGAAGGCACAAAAACTTTGGTACAATTTTGTTTCTGTATCACATCCCCTGGTAATAAAACCCTGAAGTTAAGTACCTCAGAAATTTTCCACTCTAACTGTTAGGATTTGCTTTAAAAAGAGCAGGCAAACAGTCTTGTATACAGCAAACAAAATCTCAGAAGATAAAGTTAATTTAAAGAAAAAAATTCTGTGCAATCTGACCGGCATCCTTTTAGCACGACAGCAACAATACTAAGTCTGGTAGTTCTGATCTAATTAACAACATACCACAGCCAAAGGTTAAGGCAAAACAATGCTTTTTGTAAGCAGCTGACCTCTCATTTGAAAAACAGAAGTATAAGCTATAGCAGCATAAAATGACAAGTAGTAGATCTACATCCCTTATAAAAGAAGAACTTATCACTTTCCTACTGACATGAATCAGAGGAGAGCAAGATAACTGATCACATAAACCTCACTGGCAGTATTATCAACAAACACTAATAGATTTTCTGGCATACAAACACAAGTTTGCTATCTGTAATCAGAAAATGTCACCTATAGGCAAATCTCCATAGATAAATGGAATATCTTCAGCATAAGAAGGATCTCAATCTATCAGTACACAACAACAGAGCAACTGAGAACCAGCAGACAAGGCAACTGAGTTAAATTATCAAAGCTTAGGAAATTTGTTCAGATATTTACAGACTTCTGAAGAAATTCAAAGAAACAGAAGTTTTACCATTATACAACAAACAAAGGATCATTTGAAAAGGCACTTAGCTGCTCCTGGGTTGTTAAAAAGGCCTTATTACACTTTGAACCAAGTGTGCATCCATCCAAAAAAATGGAATCAGAGGTAACCCAGAGTTTATTTGTGACCATGACATAAACAAAGGCACAGTCATAGAATCACAGAATATGCTGAGTTGGAAGGGACCCACAAGGATCATCAAGTCCAACTCCTGGCTCCTTCACAGGACACCCCAAGAGTCACACCATGTGCCTGACAGCACTGTCCAAATGCTTCTCAAACTCTGTCAGGTTTGGTGCTGTGATCACTTCCCTGGGGAGTAAAAAATCTACAATTTCCAGTACCTACATCAGCAATTTCCAGTACCTACTAGTGTTTTAGAGTACAAATTCCAGGTTACACTGCGCACATTATCAGGTACTTCACAAATGATTTAAACAGAAATTAATAATACATGTTAAAGAAATTATAAACCTATCTTTAAAAACTCAAGGCTACAGTATAGAGAAGATGAAGCCAGAATCTTCTTGGGAGTTACACAGTTAACAGGTTAAATGGCAACAGACCTATATAGGATGCAGTATGTTTAAAGTCTAACTACATATTAGGGAAGCAAATTCACAGTAAGGACTGCCAAACACAGGAACAAAGAATTTGTGAAAACTTCATTTTTGGAAACACTGAAAATTTACATGGACAATTCTCTGAGCAACTGCTCAAAGTTGTCCATAATCTGAATAAGAGGTAGGATTAAGGCCTCTAGAGGTTCCTTTCGATCCTACATCACTGTAAGAATCTGTAGAATAATATCATTCTTTCCCAAATCCTGCTCTTTTCACAGATATCAAGGGATTTGCTAAAATATGCTTTAGAGAATCAAGAACTGAGATGCAACTATGCTTTTACAGCCAGGCACTAATGAGTCAAGCACAAAATATAAGAATTATTCCTTTTGCCACAATCCTTCAGTAACAGTCCATTTTGATAAAGAAGGGGTTATGTTTGTGCTTTTAATTATTCAAGGTAGAATATCCCATGAGAAAAACTAGCCTTAACTAATGCCTTCATTCTGCTAAGCAAACATTAAGATGTACAGTTAGCTTTGAAGCTTGTCTGCACATCCTGTAAAAGCAGATCTCCCTAACAGGCAGCATCTTTAAGACATACACAAATCTGAAAGTAAGTTGACAAGAATAATTCAGTTGCAGAAAAAGAAAAAGAAGAATCAAAAAAGATACACAACAGTTGTGCCAGAAAACCAAAAAGGAAACATCATAAATATCCCCACTCAGATTTTTCTTAAATTAAAAAAAAACTGTAAGTCTCTGCAGGTAGTTTTTTCATCAATCCTCACAGTCAAAGGATAGCTGTTTGAAAGGGCCAGCTGAATCTAGTCAATCTACAAATGGTTCTGGGACTGGTGCCCAGTTTGATTTGGATCATGGGACTTGCTTTGAGAAACTGGGTCTACTGGGGGCTGATGGATCCATCTGTCAGAGATAGGGAAGAGCAACTTCAGTCACAGGCTTAGCAAGCTAGTGAGGAGAGCTTTAAATTAAAGGTGCCAGAGGGAGGGGAACCTCAGTCCATCCCAGTCCTACCAGTTTGATGCCATCAATAGATGCCCAGAGTGTGAAGAGGGATCACAGGTCAGCAGGAAAGCACCTGAAGAGCAACAAAAAGGAATTCTAGCCAATAAGTCAGCTTCACTGGGGTTCCAGCTTCAAGGCAATAGCACATAAGACGAGGAATAAAGAAGAGAAGTTAGAGATGTGTGCATGGATGCAGGGCTATGATCTCATTGGCATGTCACGGAGACATGGTGGGACGGCTCCAAAGAGTGGAGTGTTGGAATGGAAGGACACAGGCTCTTTAGGAAGGACAGGAAGGGTGGACAAGGAGGTGGTGTTGCCCTCTATGTCAACGACCAGCTGGAGAGCATGCATCTTCACCTGGGGATGTACGAGGAGCTAAGTGAAAGCTTATAGCTCAGGATTAAAGGCAGGACAGGAACAGGTGACTTTATAGTGGGGGTCTGCTACAGGTCACCCAACCAGAAAGACCAAACAAATGAGGTCCTTTACAGACAGATTGGAGTGACCTCGCCTCACATTCAAAAGCCCTGGTCCTCATGACTTTAACCATCCCAGTATCTGTCAACACTGCAGGGCATAAGCAATCCAGGAGGTTGCGTTGATGGTAACTTCCTTCTCCAAGTGATAGAGGAGCCAAGGAGGAGAGGTGCTATGCTGGATCTTGTTCTCCCAACAAGGAGAGAAATGTGAAAGTCAAGGGCACCCTGGACTACAAGGTTCATGAAATAGTGGGGTTCAAGATCCTTAGGACAGCAAGGAGGGTGTGCAGCAAGCTCACTACCCTGGACTTCAGGAGAGCAGACTCCTGAAGGCCCCTTCAGGATCTGGTTGGTAGAGTGCCATGGGATAAAGCAGATGGAGGGGAGAGAGGTCCAAGAAAGCTGGTTGATATTCAAAGGTCACCTCCACAGAGCCCTGGAGTGATGCATCCGAACAAAGAAGAATCCAGGCAAAAACATGAGGATGGTGTTAGGTGAACAAGGAGCTCCCAGACAAACTCAAATGCAAAAAGGAAGCCTACAGAGGGTGGAAGAAATTACATGGAGCCTGGAAGGAAAACGGAGTGATTGTCCAACGAGCCAAATTCTATGAAAGCTAAAGCTTCCCTGGAAAAGGGGAAATATAGCCCACATTTTTAAAAAGGGAAATAAGGAAGACCCAGGAAACTACAGGTCGGTGAGTCTCACCTCGGTTTCCAGCAAGATTATGAAGTAGATCCTCCTGGAAACTTTGCTAAGGCACATGGAAAAAAAGGAAGTGTTGGTGACAGTGAACACAGCTTCACTAAAGGTAAATCATGGCTTACAGGTTTTGTGGCCTTCTACAACAGGGTTACAGCAGTGGTGGGTAAGGAAAGAGCCACAGATGTAATTTACTTGGACTTGTGCAAAGCAGCTGACACAGCTGACACAGCACACACAGCTGACACACTGTCCCACACAATACCCTTGACTCTAAGCCACAGAGACATGGATTTGATGGGTGGACCATTAGATGCATAAGGAATTGGTTGGATGGTCACACTCAAAGAGTTGTGGTCAATGGCTAAATGTCCAGGTGGAGACCAGAGATAAGCAGTGTTCCACCAAGGTCAGTATTGGTACTGGACCTGTTTAGCACATTTTTTGGTGACAAAGACAGTGGGATTGAATGCACCCTGAGCAAGTTTGCTGACACCACCAAGCTGTGTGGTACAGACAACACACTGGAAGGAAGGGATATTATCCAGAGGGATGTGGACAGATGGAGAGGTGGGCCTATAAGAACCTGATAAGAATCAACCAAACCACTCCATGATTATATGAAACCCAAAAGATAACATATATATTATTCCTAAGCCAACTGAACTTTCCAGTACATAGTACCTTCTGCGTATTTACATAGTTGCATTGTACAGCACTTCTCCTAGTTACATATGTATAGTCAGCATTGTATCTACTGTCAATAGCACACTTCTGTTGCGGTATAGAGGTCTTGTACCATCTTTATAAGATTGGCTGCTACTGTTGAAGAATCCATTCAGTGCAGGTAGCTCAGGGGTGCAGTGGAGCTGTAGGTTGAGCTCTGAGTGGTGGGAGCCTGAGGCAAGAGGCCATGAACTGCCAACCCTTTGCACAACAAAGGGCCCAGGAGCTGTAGTCCAGCCAGGGGCCAGACACTCAAGGACACAGAGACACAGAAGGAGCCAAGGACGCCCGGACTTTTGTGCCCTTAGACTGTGAGGGTATAAAACCCCAGGGTTCCTTTGTTCAAGGTCCCTCCTCGGAGACACCAGCTCAAGATGTTATTATGTTATTGCACCAATATTAAATTATTTTAAGGATCAAAATATCAGACTCTGCCATGGGAAACATGGGGTTAAGTCAGTCAGAAAACCTGGTCTGCCTGTGTGAGTGTGGGGTGTATAGCTGGGAAGGGTCCTCAATCCCAGCTCAGGTAGATCAAGTGTGACTGCCTGAGTGGCTCCTGGATGGTCAGACAGGAAAGTTTCTTTAACACTACATCTCTAACCAACATGCATTAAAGGAAAGCAAGCTAGAGTATCTGGCTGATTTTGCAAAAATAATTCAGAGAAAAAATTTGAAAAAGTTTACTACAGATACTCACGTCATGGTAGAAACATAGCCTTTCTTCTAGAAAGATAAAGTCATACAATTCATACAAGTTAATGAAAAAAACAACAAGAATGAGTGGCAAAACATTACAGCCGAAACAAATTCTGCAATAGTTAAAAGTACATAAATGCCATGTGTAGTGGGTTTCTGTGGTTGGGTTTTGGTAGCAGGGGCGGGGCTACAGGGGTGGCTTCTGTTGGAAGCTGCTAGAAGCTTCCCCTGTCTGGTGGAGCCAGTGCCAGCTGGCTCCAGGACGGACTTCCTGCCACTGGCCAAGGCTGAGCCAATCAGGAGTAATAGTAATGCCTCTGTGATAACATATTTAAGAACAGAAGGTATTGCACAGAAAGAATTCCAGCCAGCGAAGAGCAGAGTGAGAACATGGGAACAACGAGGTAGACACCAAGGTCAGTGGAGAAGAAGGGGCAGGAGGTGCTCCAGGCACCGGAGCTGAGGCCCTGCAGCCTGTGGTGCAGACCATGATGGGGCAGCTGTGCCCCTGCAGCCCATGGAGGAGCCCATGCTGGAGCAGGTGGATATCCCAAGGAGGCTGTGACCCCGAGGGAGGCCAAAGATGGAGCAGGGTCCTGCCAGAGAGGAAGGTCCTGTAGCCTGTGGAGAGGGAAGCCCACACTGGAGCAGGTTTATCCTGGGTAGCACTTGTGGCCCCTGTGGGGGACCCACGTCAGTGCAGCTCATTCATGAAGGACTGCACCCCATGGAGAAGTGACCCATGGGACAGCAGTTTGGGAAGAACTGCTGCCCGAGGGATGGACTCACCTTGGAGATGTCCATCAAGGACTGTCTCCCGTGGGAGGGCCCCCACAGGAGCAGGGGAAGGACTCCTCTCTCTGGTCAGTGGCAGAAACAACAACTGACCGTAACCCGCATTCCTCATCCCCCTGCACCGCTGGGGGAAAACATGGAAGGCAGGAGGGGGGGGAGAAGGTGTTTTTAAGATTGTTTTATTTCTCACTCTTTGGCTCTGATCCTGTTAGTAATACATTTAAGTACTATCCCCACTTTGAGTCTGTTTTGCCAGTGAAGGTAATCAGTAACTGACCTCCCCCAGCTGTTACCTCGGCTCATGAATCCTTAGCTCATTTTTTAGCTCTCTCTCCTCTGTCCAGTTGCAGAGGAAGAGAGTGGCTTTAGTGGGTACCTGGCATCTGACCAGGGTCAACCCACTACACTATATTTGAAAGAAATACCTCTTTAAAATGTGGTACAGTAAAATTAAATTTACTTAAAATTTATTTATTTAAAAGGAAATTCTAGAAAGAAAAATATCTAAAAGTGAAAGTTAACTTTCCAAAATATGATCAGAAATCAGTAATATTCATCTGTACATTCAAGACCAAACCTAACTGCATCTCAGCTTGTTCCCCAAAGAGAAATCAACATTCAGTATCAAATATTTTTTCATACTTACAAAGGAAAGAATGATAGCATTCTATTACTTTAAGTTCAATACTGAGATGAAGAGGGTGACGAATTATTCCACAAGCAGCTGGTGGAGGTTTCAAAATCACCAGCCCTTATTCTTGTGGGTGACTTTAACCTGCCGGATGTCTGCTGGGAACTCAACAGAGCAGAAGAGTGGCAGTCTAGGAGATTCCTAGAGTGTATGGAAGATAACTCGTTGCAGCTGATAAATGAACCTACCAGGGTGGGCCCTGCTAGACCTGCTGTTTACAAACAGAGAAGGGCTCGTGGGAGATGTGGTGGTCAGAGGCTGTCTGGGGCACAGTGACCACATAACGACAGAGTTTTCAATACCTGGTGAAGTAAGGAAGGATGTCAACAAAACCTCAGCCTCGGACTTCCGGAGGGCAGACTTTGGCCCATTCAGGAGGCTGGTTCAGAGGGTACCTTGAGAAACAACCCTTAAAAACAAAAGGGGTCCAGGAAGGCTGGACATGCTTCAAGAAAGAAATCTTGAAGGCACAGGAGCAGGCTGTCCCTATGTGCCCAAAGGTGAACCAGTGGGAAAGATGACCATCCTGGCTGAACAGGGAGATTTTGAAGGAAATTAGGGAAAAAAAAGAGAGTCTATCACCTTTGGAAAAAAGGGCAGGCAACTCATGAAGTGTTTGTCATATATAGTTATGTCATGTAGAAAGAAAATTAGAGAGGCAAAAGCACAATTTGAATGTAATCTGGCCACTTCTGTTAAGGACAACAAAAAGCGTTTTTATAAATGTATCAACAGCAAAAGGAGGGACAAGGAGAACCTCCATTCTTTGTTGGACAAGGAGGGAAACATAGTTACCAAAGACTAGTTAGGCTGCACCTTGTCCAGTTCTGGGCCCCTCAGTTCAGGAAGGATATTAAAGTGCTGGAGAGTGTCCAAAGAAGGGCAACTAGGCTGGTGAAGGGACTGGAGCACAAGTCCTGTGAGGAGAGGCCGAGGGAGCTGGGGTTGTTCAGCCTGGAGAAGAGGAGGCTCAGGGGAGACCTCATCACTCTCTACAACTACCTGAAAGGAGGCTGGAGCAAGGTGAGTCTTGATCTCTTCTCCCAGGCAACCAGCAGCTGAACAAGGGAGCACAGTCTTAATCTGTGCCAGGGGAGGTTTAGGTTAGACATTAGAAAGAAATTCTTTACAGAAAGAACGATCAGACACTGGAAAGGGCTGCCCAGGGAGGTGGTGGAGTCACTGTCCCTGGAGGTGTTTAAGAAGAGACTGGATGCAGCACTTAGTGCCATGGTCTTGTTGACAGAGTGGTGTTGGGTCAAAGGTTGGACTCTCTGATCTCAGAAGTCTTTTCCAACCTGGTTGATTCTGTGATTCTGCGAAAAAAGATGCAGACACCCAAAAGAGAATATTGTAATACAGCCAATGCCCCTCAAAAAATAAGATAAAGTCCAGAAACTGAAGTGAATTTCCTGTTTGGCCTTTCTATATAGGTTTGTTCGGGGGTTTTAGTGTATTTTTTCTGGATGTGAATTTTTTTTTCAGCAAAGAACTGTCATCAGACAACTGCAACTAGGTAAATTAAAAGAATCACCTATGTGATTTCATAGTGAGTTAAACCTTATTACCACCTATATCCAATATCTATAAAAAAGCACAAGAAACTAGAATTCAGAGAATTACCTAAAGAAAAAATATATCTTTAAGTATCAAGGAAAACATTTTTAAAAAGACCAAGAAGAGAATTATCACAAAGCTCACAATATTTTTCCAAGATACTTCAGATAACATTCTAAGCTATAATACACACATATAAGGCACATAATAAGAAATAAGGTAAATACACATTATTTAAGTATTAGACATTAGTGGTAAAAAAACCTCTTAAAGGTGGGGTTTTTTCTGCCCCCAAAGATAACCTTAACAAAAATAACTTCTTTAAAACCTATCAAACCATCACAGACCTGAATAGTTTCCATAAGATTGTAAACAATTATTTAGAGAAATGCAAAAATTTATTTTAAATCACTATTTTCTTGTTTTATATTCTCCAAAGTACTATTACACATCACTTCATAGTAAAGATAGGACATCAAACTTCCATCCCACGGTTAAATCAACCTAAATGTCTGATCCTACAACTTGAAGAAACTTGTGAAATATCTTTTATTCCACAAAGAAAAGGCACTGCCTTTCCTCTAATAATTTAATCTGTAGGAACAGCACAGACTTTTTATTTTTATAAACAAGTTATTGTAGGAATCGGGTTTCAGGAAGGAGGCTGGATGAGGCATCCTGGGAAATGAAGTCCAAATGTACTCCCTTGAATAAAGAGGATTTGGCTCTGAACCCCCAAAGAGTTAGCCGGGCTAGTGTAATTTATTTACGTATTATATTAATATGCCACAAGTTATTTGTAAAGAATTGCCAAAGTATAAATCCACACCCTGGTAACATAAATACTATTTAGAGGATACTCACAGTCACTGCTTGCTTTTCTTCAAAAAACCCGAGCACTACTTCACATTCAAATTAGTGTTTAATCTTCGTAGAGTATATTTACCATTTTGTTAATAATACTCTTTGTTTGGTGTATTGTGAAAGCACTCTAAAATGTTTTCTAAGGCTAATTTAGAATAAAAACGTAAAGAATGTTCTCAAAATATAATTTTAAGTAGGAAATTTGATAAATATTGTTGCTAAAGCTATTTCACAGAATAATCTTTCTATGGATCACATACTTGCAGATAGAATCAGAAAATTCAGAATCATCACCTAATTCTTTGTGTATGAATGAGCTTCTTCTTTTAAGAGACAGAGCTGGTCTCAGCTTTCTCAGTCTCTGAAGATTTTACTATATTAAAAGGAAAGTGCACAGAAAATTCATATTGTAGATTTTGAGAAGGAAACTCGGAGATGCTGGTTTTCTCCAAAGTCATGATTGTGAAGCTCAATGAGAGCGTGAACTGCTTCTTCCACAGAGCCCAGTTGGATAAGACCCATTTTGCAATCTTTCCTGAAGTACAATAAAAACCATTATTAATCTTCACCAAATTTTCACTAACAAACACAGAAGAGTCACATAAGTGGTTGTTTTCAGCTATATCACACACACTGAACACTTGTACAGCAAAAGAGTCAGAACTAGTTATGCACCTGCTAAAATGCAAAGATAACAAAACTATATAAATTTTGCAAAAATGGCCTAAAGCCATGCCATTCTTTCATAACACCGGACTTCGAAAAACTGGGTCAAAATAAGGCTTGAAGGCCTCTAGGAAACACCTGTATTGTCCATATAGATGGGATTATTCTAGCTGGTATGACTGTGCTAAAATAATGTTGCCAAGTAACCTTGATCAATGTTAGAGCAGAGACATTATCATCTTTTATATGACATTTCACATATATTCAGCTTGCATTTTTTAAGGAAGTGAGTATTTACGTTTCTTAAACTTACTTTACTTTGAACATATATTTGTCCAAAGGGTGCATATTTTTGATTTAATTATGATAACAAAGCATTTCATTTAAAATTTTAAGATTAAAATTTTCATTAAAATTGTCACTGCTTTTGCCTATAGGTATATGTACATGGAATTCTGCCTATAGTTATAAATACATGGAACATCACAAAAAAGCAATAGCCATCTTCCAGGACGAAAGCTTGCTCAGCAATTTTACAAGAGAACTTACTGGAAAAATTTGAAGGCTTTCACAGTAGATCCTTTACTTGCAAAAAGGTTCTTCAAATCATCAACAGTAACAGAAGGCCTAATTGAAAAAAAAAACAAACAAACAAAAAACGAATAAAACCAAAACAAGCCCTTCTCAACTTGTAGAAGAGCACAGAGTTCTATAATAATATCGAGATCTCAATCTTGGCTTCTAAATTAAATTTGAACAGCAAAAACTATCTCCACCAACTCAAACTCTGTCAACACTTCAGCCCAAACAACTTGGTTTTGTGCTACAAAATTATTCCAGCTACACTCTACTGCTTTTCATCCAACCCCATTTCTTTCTCAGTTAAATTCAGATTGCATAAAATTCTCCTAAGATCTTAATCAGTACCTTCATTAATACCTTTCATCTTGAAATTTGAGTGATTGTGCTTCATGTATTTTCAGTTCTGAAGCTTTTTATTTTATTCAAAAAGCCATTTTCTAAGTGTCTTATAATTTCCTTTGTTACTTGGACATAATTCCAGTTTCCTCTTTTCCCTCCCTGCACAGCTGCCAAACAAAAGAAGCCTGTAAAAACTTATGTTTGGCTGTTACTCCATACATTGTTGACAACATTCTAGATTTAAAAAAAAGATTGTTTCAGTCTTAGAGAACACCATTATTAACACCTTTTTTTTTACAACTTCCGCTCTATGTAAGAGGTCTGAATTCTGTAGAAATTACTCTTTTAGAAGTGTAAGAATTATTCAAAACCGTATCTATATTAAGTAACAATTTCAATGACAAATTTGTTGAAATGTAATTCCAGTACGTAATCTCAAAACACGTCTTTAATCTTTGTGAAAATTTGTAACACAGAACTTAATAGGTAAAAGAACAAAAGCATACTCTCAAGAAAATGTAAACTGATTAAAACTCATAAAGAAGATCATTCAAACAGTTATCCTCATTGCTAATGATAAAAAAAGGTACAGTTAAAGGATTCACTTGTTGTTAGTTATACAGCAGAATGACTCATAGCAGAATGAAGGCCAAGGGAATGTAAAGCTTATGTCAGACTTTGTAACTCAAGAACACAACCTAAAAAACATCTCTTCAAGAAAATCATACATGTAGATACTCACGGGATGTTGGAGAGATGCAGGGTGGCAGATGGAGGAAAAATATTTTGGCAGTTCTTAGAGCCAGGATTCTTAAAGCGATGTAAAGGGCTATTGCTATAGTCCTTTGTCAGACCTTTGTCTTCTTGCCCTTCGCGAGGAAGTTGAATTGTCTGATATTTTGAAAGAGTAGTATGCATGACCCTTCCATAAAGCCTCTGTCCATTCAAGTGGTTGATAGCTAACCAGTGGAAATTTAATTTGAACAGGAATAAATGGAGGGGAAGAAAAGACGATTCTTTAAATACTAATATTGTTTTCTATTCAGTGCCAGCTTTCACATTCTAAATTTAAACTGCAACTTGCATGTTGTCCTAGTTAGGACAACTGAGACCAGTTCATCATGGTATGGGTGTAACCCAAAACTGTGTATTCTATAGCCTTCCATGCCATTTCCCAGAAACTGTTGTCAATAGACTATTCGCACCCTCTGCCCATAGAGCCTGACTCCTCAGGCTATAAACTAGGTGTCAAGAGGCCTGTGAGATAGGAGGATGCTCTTGTCCTCACACCCTTTGTGGAACTCCCCGCCCTGAGGGAAGTATTGAGCATTCCTGCCTGAACTGGAGGATATATAATCTTGGAGTCTTGGAACATTTTTAACCACTCATGGGATCCAGAGGAAGACTGCAGGTCATCGCTCTCAACCTCAGCTGGACTGCAATCACCACTTTTGACCAGACTGCAACAGCTCTCCCACCAGCAGGTTTTTCCCCTCTCCCTTTACTTTGGACTCAAGCGGGGCCCAAGGAACACCACTTTGTTCATGCCCCAGGGTACTGGGTTATACATTTGGGTTTTGTGGGTTAAGACCAATTGTTTGTTTGTATGATTGTACTTACTGTATTATTTTAATAAATTGTTATTCTGACTTATAATCTCTCCTTTGAGTTGAGTTCATTTCCCCTGCTGGTTAACTCTTAAACCAGCACACATGTCTACCAGGTGGGCTATGCCACAACATTATATTTAAAACAAGTACAAGGATGTAATATAATCTCCAGTCTAAATGCCACAAAAATGCAAAACATCATTTCAATAAAGAACAGTTGATTATTATTAAATAGCTAGATATAAGATGAACTACAGGAAAATCATATGATGTATTATTAAGACAAACTATGGGAAAATTGTATGATGTTTTAATTCTAACATTTACTAGATTGAGATTCACAGGAACTTAGTTTTTAAACCACTAAGAGTATTATCAACATTGGTAAGGAAAAGTTTGTATGTAGTAATGCAGCACAATGATGGATTGAATTTGTTTATGCTTGTCACTGACAGAGGGCAAATTCTTCCTTTATATTATGCTCATGCTAGTTTGAAGCATAACTGTGCCTTAAAAATCAATACCTAATTGAGCCTGGGTTGCATCTGCCATCTGAACCAAAGCAATTCCTCTTTTCTTAAACATAATCTTCACACGATGCACATTACCATATACACCTGTGGAAATACAGAAAGGAAATCTTTTCATAGCAGCAGAAGGGCAAGTCTGTTTCTTTTGATTAACATTAGATTTACAAAAAATAATCATCTCATTCAACAGCTTGGTTAGAATATTAGTATGAAGGACAGTTTTGAAGTTTGTGTATTATTTTCTGAGGCTCCAAAATGGAGGAAAACCCCCAGGATCTTAGTCATAAAACTGCATGTTTATGTTCAGCTTTTAATCAGTGCAATAGTCGTCAAAGTCCCCTTAACAGAGGCTTATTAAAATACTACTATGCCAAACATTGTCCCCTGCAATTAATGTATGATCCAATTCTATACAGCACTTCCTCTGATGCAATATTTGTTTTTTCCTCTTACTTTGTCTTCCCATTTTTGTAGTAAACAAACTGGACCACACACTGAAATTCATCTGACACTGTAAATCTTTTGCCTTTTTTGGTATCTGTGGCCTATAACTCCTGACTCAAATTACTGTAATTTTAAAACCAGTGTATTCTCTTGTGCATTTTTTGGATATGGACAAAACAATGAAGCTTGAATTAACCAGCAGGTGTCAGATAAATAAAAAGAATGCTAGCCCTGTGGTTTCTCAAGGGATATTTGACATATCTTACCAAATAGGATGAAAAGTCCATATGGTGTGATGGCCTGTTCAAATGATAAAATGAGTATATTATTTCTAAAGCCATGCAAATAAAGACATCTATTCCATAAGTGTATGGTAAACAAAAAGAATGGAAGAAATACTGCATATCAATACTTAAACCTGTCTCTCCAAAAGCCATTCCCTGCAATAACTACAAGGTATGGCACTCTTGTTAGTATATATTTGCAATGCACATGTGAAATACTTAAACAAGCTAACACTTCAGCTCATGCATATTTGTCACTCAAGACTCAGTCTGTCATGCTGCAGAAGTTATTAATATTTTAAGTAGCTTCATTATTTGAACTTATTCTAAGCTAGCAGCTCATTCCCTGAAAAAATGAAAGACATTTGCTAAACTAAAAATAGAAAAGAACATTCAAGAACTCCTTTGTATTTTGTAAACAGCAGACAACACCTATGAAATCAAACCTAGTTGCTTCAAAATGTGCTTGCTTTGTCTTCAATTTTGTCCCCATTCCTTTATGTGATGACTGTGACATTCTAAAGTGATATACATACAATTTAACTGTTTATATATGAAGCGTATAGAAAGTGGTATTTAAATTGTGTTTGAACAGAAGCTATTCAATTAAATTCTTGTATGCCAAGCACCAAAGAAGATCATTTATATTCTAATGCAACCAAAATTTATTCAATTGAGCAAAAGTTTTGCCAGTATTAAAAATACCTGGGTATCAGAAGCACTACTTACACCCTCTAGCCCTATTCCTTCTCATCTCACAACATTTGAAATGTGTAACAAAATATCTGAATTTTTCAAAAAAGGAAGATACTGCAGCCTAAATGCAAGCCCATACCCATTTATCGTTAGCATTTAGTAATAGAGAACAATTACTATCAATGTGAAATTTAAATTCGCCAAGAGTTTATCTTTCTGGCCTAAATATTTTAATTCAACATGGAGGAGTGTTTTTAAGAAATTTCTTATCCAAATGAGACCTCAATATTTTTCTAAAAAAAAAAATGTGTTTGGAAGACAAAGCCAGGTAATTTAAAAGTCGCAAGGAAATGTTCAAGTGCAGACTAAAACTCTGCAGTGGGGAGAAATACAAATTGAAATAAGCTCAATAAGATTTTCTATACATAGAAAAAGAAGTGACAGGGCTCAGACAACCACTACTGAAGGACAAGTGTTACGCAGTTGCCACAAAATATATTTCCAACAATTAATGTTGTTGTACATAGTTATTTCACAGCTTTTAAGAAGTTGAGCATTATTTAATGCATTGATACTGTAACATGCATTACATCACAAAGTTCTACATGACTCCTTAGATGTGGTTAGTATTATGTAAAGGAGCAATGTCCTAAAAATAGCTCTGACCTATCTTTGACATATGCTTATTCTTAAGAAACACACTCTTTTTTAAGATTCAGAGAATCATCTTGAATAATCAGCTGCAGAAAGCATATCCACAGTCATCATCAGAAACTCACTGATAGGACGTGTTGACAAATCAAAGAAAAAGTGACTTGTCTTACAGTCCTATCTGCAGCTGTTTCTTTTGATGCTTACCGTGGAATTTGGTTGTTAGTACAAAAACAGAAACAAAACAATTACTTTAAGAAACTGGTCAACAGATTTTTAAACCTCAGAATATAAAGGTAACTTCCATTTTGCCATCACTTCTAATTTTAACAGTTTTATGGTTAAGTAAATGTATTGAGTGTGTAAAACAAGAATTTTACATTGCTGCAATAGGACTGCTTATCAACAATCAAGTAGAATTGTATTTTAAGTTATGGCCCTGGTAGAGCTTGATTTTTGTTTTTTTTTAAAGATGTACATGGCTTTTAATTAAGCACAGATCAGTCTGTAATATTTGACTAACAGGAGTAAGATTATAGAATAGCCTATGTCACTTCCACTACAAAAATAACTTTCCAAGTTGTCCTTGGTAATTTTACTGCCAACATATGAAAAAATCAAAATCTGTGTGGTACTTTGAAAAGTGAACATGTGTATATATTCACTTTTAAAAACAGATGTACAGTGATGTCAATAGCAAAGCATACCTGTGCGCTTCCTCTCCAACCTGGGAAAAGTTGCAAAACTAGAAAGATTCTATCCATGTTTAGAAAGCTACTTGATTTGGCATGCTTTCACCTCCTTTTCTCTTCCCTTCTTTTTTTCTACGTCCTTGTTTTTTAATAAATGAAAAATCCTTTGCCCTCTTTACAGATAAAGCAGCACTAGATGGCCGGAGTTTTTCAACCTCATCAATATTACAAACTACCTCAAACAAGTATAGAGCTGTCCTGTTTTTTATATTAGCAGCATAGAGAATTTCTCTTATTCCTTCAGCTAACATCCATTTCCGAGAAGGATTCTGGCTGTTGGTACAAGGTGATACTTGCATCAGTTCCACCAATCAAACTTACTTCAGGGTTGAGGTTGCTGACTAGTAAAACAGAATTTCCTGGAATACCAGCAACACCACGAATCTGTCCAGACACCGTTGACGGGGTGATTGTGAGAGAACCAAGTGCTCCAGGAGCAGCTGGAACTGAAATACCTGGAAGGGTATAAAGAGCATCATTTGACATCTCAAAGTAGAAGAGAAAGAAGACAAAACCAAGTTATGTTTGGCAAAAACATCAATATTCAATTTAAAAATGCTTTTAAGGAATTTAGTTATTAATAGTACCTGACCAATAAAGCAGGAAGTGCTTCCCTTTCAGAGATGAAGAAATATTCAGCTACACAAACAGACCCAAACAGAAGGGGACACAAATTGCAGTTCAAGAAAGAAGAAAAATAATTCAGCACAAAAGTTTATCCTGTGTTAGAAAGGAAAAGATCACTCAGTTTAAAAAACTATTTATTTCTCACTTTCTAGCCAGGAAAGGGGAGACTTCCTGTATTTGCATTGAATATCATTGAAGTCTGATGATTCTTAGAAAAACAGATGCTTAATTTCTTCTCTTGCAGGTTATATTTATCATGGCATTTAATTTCTTATTAAACTATAAACTACATCAGTAATGTTTTTTATTACAGAAAGTAATTTTACTGAGTTATATGAGAAAGAGAATCAGAATTACTCAAAGGGATACTGTGTTCTGATTGCTGTATCTGAAAACAGTTTGCTTTAAACAGGTGTATTCAAGTAGCCCACTAGCCATAACTACAAATATCACATTTTTAGAAAATACAAACTTACCAGCACCTTGAGGAAAGCCCAAGGGTTGGGCAAATCCAGCAGCCCCTGGATATGATGGGAATACCGTATTTGGAGTGGCTAGAGAGAGAAGACACATCTAATTAAAAGAGATTTTAAACGTTTTGGAAAACAGAAGAGGTTTCAAGACTCAGAATCAGCTGCCAGTGTTGTTATTCTGATTTTGTCTGTCATTACACATCTTATAAAATGTTTGTGTTAAAATCTCTCATTGAAATCCAAGATTCTATGTTTTACAAAGACAATTTTCAGACACTTTTGAAGGCAAATGTTCTGATCAGCCTCAATGTCCCTCTCTAAAATGAAGTTAGGGCAAAACATAAGGTAGGTAAGTCTGAATAGGAAAGCACAGCATAGACTAGTATCCAATAAAGTTAATATGTCTGTGGTGTTCAACAGTTTTTATTCACATGATGGACATGCATTCTAGAAATTGCTGGAAGTAAATATATTCAAAGATGTTTTGTAATGATAAGATAAGACTATTTCCTTGATATTTCTAAAATGAATATAAGCTAAACAAGACAAACAACAACAACTGATCTGAGATTCTGAATTTTACTAGCTGCTGAGATGCATAAAGTATATGTATTTTGCTTTTTAAAGAGATGTACTTTCCCAGTTTGCATAACTTCATAAATAACCAGTGGTTTTTATGGTTCCTCTGGAAATCACAACCATGAAACAGATTTGGAATAGCAACATACAGACAGTCCCAGCCTCACAGATGGCTCAGTGATTTCCACATTAGTATGTGGAGTTAAGTGCTACCCAAGGCAGCAGAAAAACTTGTGTTCTAAGAGGCAATTAGGTACAAGCCTGAGTTGTGGATTCTTTCATATGTTAGCAAACACCACATTTTTTCTCTAAAATGGGACAATTACAATCAAGAAATACATCCTACAAGCTTGGTAATATGTCTGTTTTACTACTCAAACCTCCACCATAGACTAAAATACAGCCACATTCACTAGTGAATGGTCCTTGATACAATGTATGATACAATACCATAAGTATCCATTATGAATTACAAAAGTGACAAATGGAACAAACACCAAAGATCAAGTATTCATGAATATTGCATCACATTACACCTACTCTTATCTGTGGCAACAAAGTGTCTTTCATACAAACAACCGAATACATTTATCACACCAAAGCAAGTAATTTTGTTCTTGAAATACATGTACTGGTGCATTATCCTGACAAGTTCTGGCAACACAGTTATTAATCACTTATTCACAACCTAAAAATGCTAATGGCACATTAACAAAGAAATAGATAAACAGCTTTTATTCTGCCAAATAAGACTTGCATGTTGCACACTGATACCAAAATCAGGCATGTAAAAATTGTCAAACTGAACTAATGCTGAAAGATCTGGAATTCTTTGTGGCCTTTTTTTTTTTCTTTAATGTGTAAAATCATTTGCTTCATGGCTAGTAGCTAGCTTTCAAAGCAAGCTAATTCATGTATCTGTGCTTATGCTCACTGGGTGAAAGAACTCTTTATGTGCAAAATATTCACAAAATCTGCGTGTTTACAGTATCTTTTCCAACAAAACCAAAACTTAATAGAAAAAAAGACAGAAACAAGTTTCAAGAGCAGTTCAGTTTTGCTATTAAGACAACTTCAAGTCTAGGAAAAAAAAGTACTATTCTGATAGTTACCTGCTTTATCTTATAATTCTCCATCAAAAATACATCCACTAGTAATAACACAGGAAGTGCAAGTGCTGACATGACTCACAACATCTTTTTCTCATGTTCTGTAACTAAGTCTATCAGAACATGCCAATGACAACATATACATGTTGTCACCACCGACGGAAAGGTTAAGAAGCATGCTTTTCCCCATCTACAGCTATTTTCTTAAAAGAAAAATATCTATGCAGCTGCTTCACTGTGATTTCACTATAAACACTTTTTGGTAGACATCAGACTATTCTTCATACCAGCACCTCTGTTGTTCTTAATATTATAGCAAATGAAAACTGTAATATGAAAAATGAGAAGCTTGGAAGAGTGAAGGGGAGGAAATGGAGCAGTTTTCATGTGTTATCCTACAAAAGCATACAGTTATCTTTGCAAGCTCATCTTTAATCTATTCTAATTGTACTTTCCCCTTCCAATGACATTTCAAATAGTGCAAGTCTAAATAATCAGAATATATTAGACCTGTAACAGCATACTTCTATAATGCTGTATGGCAAATTCTGCCCCCCTCGCTCCACCCCTCAGTATAAAGACAGTTGTACATAAAGTAAAGATCCAAAGCCTGTCTTTAAGGGGAGCAGTAAAAACAACCAAGAAAGTAGTAAGAGCACCTCACATTCTTACTCTAATCTAAGCTAACTAACTCAACTATCCAAAAAATCAAATGAAACCCAGTATCTGCCCTAGCCATCACAGAAAACTAAAGGAAAAAAGGGAATTATTCCCCCACCCTTTCTACTGTGCTAATCAATTGGACAGCACTTAGATACCTATCCAACAGCTAAGGCAGCTCATACCTATGTATTATTGCTAACCATTATCATTAGAGAGAAAGAAAAATAGCTAAAATAGCTCAAATTGCACTGTGAGCACTTCAGGTCATCAGATCAATGTGTTTGGTGATTTGTATTATTCCTAAAGCTAATTAAATGAGCGTGGTAGAGCAATTTAAGCCAAAGGGGCTTCTCCAGTGTCACTTCAAGCAGACACTGTCTCCCTATATGCCATGGAATTGACTTCTAAAATTCAAGAAAACTTCTAAAATTTTATCTTTCAGAAGGTGACTACAAACATTTATAAATGTGGCATTTTGAATTTTCTTATAGTTTTTTTTTGTTACAGCAGGCAGTTATCCTAAAATAAACTCAAATAAGAGCCAACACCCTTAGAACACTTATTTTCAAGCAGCCTTAGGCAAACAATGTTAATTGGTGATGACTTTCACTGACCATACTGATACGCAACATTTATTATATTACCTGTACTAATAATACCATTCCAAATCATTTTACAAATGCAGCTTTTTGACAACACCTTGAGTTTGCCCATGAGCATTCCTCATGTTATAGTTACAGATATTAAGTTATCTTGAGTTGGACTTTCTGCTTTCCATACAAATCTTACTGGACCTAACACACAGAAATGTATGCAAAATGTACCCTTCTAGGAACTTCATATGAAACTAGAGCATAAATGCAACATAAAAATTATTATCTTAGTGTGTATTTATCACTAGAAGTGAAGGTTTCTTACCAAAGGTAGCAGCTAAGGATGCATCCAGGGTTCGTTGGCCATCACCAAAAGGAAGATCAACACGAGTGAAATCTCTGCTTTTGTCATTGTTGTACTTTACTTTTAGGGTAGTTAACTTGGAGAAATCAATACGCAGAGTGCAGCACCCAGTATAGATACTGTGGCCATCCAGAGACTGAAGAAAAATAATTACATTTTCAGATTCAAAACACATTGCAGCAGCCACTGTTATAAGTTTATTATTGCAGTCTTTCAGTACTTAAGTGGCCTATAAGAAAGATGGGGACAGACCTATTATCAGGGCCTGCTGCGACAGGACAAGTGGGTCAATTTGGACTGGATATGAGAAAGAGGCTTTTTACAATGAAGCTGGTGAAACATGGCATAGGTTGCGCAGAGAGGTGATCGATGCTCATTGGACTGGGCTCTGAGAAACCTGATCTAGTTGAAGATGTCCCAGCTTATTGCAGAGGGGTTGGACTAGATGACCTTTAAAGGTCCCTTCCAATCCAAACCATTCCATGATTTTCACCTTGCAATTGTATCCAAATAGTAATTCATCCTCTGTTTTTAAAGTGGTGGTTTTAAACACCAAGTAGACAATTATGCTGCTACTATCCTTACCTAAACATCCTGTGTACAGTTCCAGTGTAGTCCACTAGTTAGTAAGTATTACATCACTTTGTGCCAATTGGACAAAACAGAGCTTTAAGCATGACATGACTTTCTGTGTTTCTGATCTCACTTGTCTCCCACTCAACACACAATATCAGGTGCTAGTACCAATACTAATTTGGAAATTCTTACTGCATGGAACTGACCCTTACATAAGCTGGTGAAGGGCCTGGAGCATCCCGTGAGGACCTGCTGAAGGAGTAGGGGTTGTTTAGCCTGGAGAAAAGGTGGCTCAGGGGGGAACTTATTGTTCTCTACAACTTGAAAGGAGACTGTAGTGAAGAGGGGGTTGCTCTCTTCTCCCACGTAACAAGTGACAGGACAGAAGAAATGGTTTCAAGTTTTGTGAGGTGAAGTTTAGATTGGATATTAGGAAAAATTTCTTCATCAGAAGGGTTACCAAGCATTGGAACAGGCTGGAACAGGAAAGTGGTGGAGTCACCGCCCCTGGAGGTATTTACAAGATGTGGAGATGTGGTGTTTAGGTACATGGTTTAGAGGTGAACTTGGGCAGTGTTAGGTTTATCATTGGACTCAATGACCTCAAGGTTCTTTTTCAATGTAAACCCCTGGAGCTGGGCTTGACTTCAAGTGACGCAATAGAGCAGATGGATCCCGTGCTGCAGATCGCCCAAAAGAAGTGGTGGGTGATTGTTGTGGCTAACTCCCTGCTGAAGAGGACAGAGGCACTCATCTGCTGACCTGACTGCTGATCTAAAAAGGTGTCGTCTGCCAGGAGCTTGAATCACAGATGTAATGCAAAGACTGCTAAGGCTTTTCCACATATCTGACTATTACCTCCTGCTGCCGTTTCACATGAGAACTAAAGACAGCAAGGGTAACTTGGGAATTATCAAATGGGATTTCAAAGTTCCACCTGAATATGAGGAAGAACTTTACTGTGTGGGTGACCAAGAACCGTAACAGATTGCCCAGAGAGGTTGTAGAGTTTCCTTTCCTGGAGATATTCTAAAGCCATCTGCACACGAATCCTGCACAATGTGCTCTAGGGAACACTGCTTGAGAAGGGAGGTAGGACTAGATAACCTATAGTGGTCCCTTCCAACCTCACCCAACCTGTGAATCCATAAAATCCATTTTCTTATGAGTAGCTACGCTCAGAAAGATCACTGAAGTAGTATTTTCTGCCTAGACCAGTCGTAAAAGAATCATGATGGATGAAGGGGGAAGAAAACCACTCAAAAGATACTGGTTTGTCAAAATTATTTAAAATAATTTAGACTGAAATTTTAATTTCTGTGAAATCTTTAATTAGGTGTAATTTATTATAAATACTCTTCTTCAAGAAAAGATACTATTGCTAACAACCAGCCTATAAATCCAACTACATTTACTAATTTCCAATATATTCTTAACTTTTGAACACATAGTGAATTTACTTGCTGAACTAAAGTACAAGTAGAAATACGTAAATATCCTGAACCTTTAATGTTGAAGCTGAGAATAAAGTCAAGTTAAATAACAAAAGTAAGGTAAAAGTTCCATTCTATCTCATCTTTCAGTAATTTTTTTTTAACTGAATCCTAATTACCACTTAATACTTAGAGGAATCTATTCTATATACTTCAATGGGAATTTTCAGACTCTATTTCTCTTTAAAATATGTGGTCACCTCAATATTAGTAAATAAATAAAATCAAAGTGTTTCAGGCTTAACTTCAAGTAAGTTTTATTTTTGTCTTTATTTTTAACTTCACAGTTCAAGTATTATAACCCAATGATTTTAACAGTGCTGTCCCTTCTGCAAAGGTCCTGAAGTACTCAGTTTTCAACATTTAATTATAAAACTACTCATCACTGAGGAAACTAATTAGCAGTATTTTTTAGAAATTAAAATATTTAGTCATTATAAGAAAACTTTAAGAATAAGTTGTTTACATAAAAAATAATATTGAGTATTTTCAAAAAAAAGTATCTGCTGCTATACAAAGTGGAGGAGAATACTGGTGGCACCTCTGGGGCAACATGTTTAGGAAAGGCTAAAAAACCAGTGTGCAACAGTTGAGACCTGAGATGTGAGAAACAAGTGAGAGAACCATCCCTATAGACACCACGGTCAGAGAAGGAGGGGGAAGAGGAGGAGCAGAGATTCCCCTGGAGACCATGGTGAGGCAGGCTGACCCTCTGCAGCCCATGGACACCCACAGTGGAACAGATATCCATCCCACTTACAACCTGTGGGATGGTGTATCAGGTTGTTCTGCCTAAGTGAGGATAACCAGCTTGAACTTTACCCTATTTGCAAAAGTTATCAGTGGTGGATGGAAAAGGAGGTCATGCTGCTTTTGGTGTTGAAGGATGCTGAGAGCAGCCTGAGTCATCAATTCCAAAGTTAAACATTCTGAGGAAGAACAATGTTCCCTGACAGAAACTGGCACCAGTGAGGATGTGGTGTACAAAGTACCCGATAAAGGAACAAACAACTGATCCTACTGATAACCTATCTAAAGCTGCTGAGCTGACACAGCTGGCTTGGAGACATCTGACTGACAGTCAATGACTCTGTACTATAAAGCCCAGTCCCACTTTTTAACAGCAGGGTCTCCTAACACACCCCTTCTAGAAGTACATGTGTGGATTCCTCTCTTGGGTGCGGATGCCCCTCAAGGTTACTCTCGGAGGCTAAGTAAGATATTAGCCCACAGCCATTGCTACTGAGTAATTTTTTTGCTAGCTTTAATATCATTGCTTCAATATTGTTTCAATAAATACTGCACTGTAGTATTAGTTTTATCTATACTATGTGCTAAATAATTCTGACTAATGTTTTTTAGTCTAATTATTATCATCATGCAGTTAAATAAATAATTTATCTTATTAATATAAATATATTTGTTTTGACATCCTTAATCCAGTGGGACAGAGTTGTATAAAGGCTCAATTACACCTATATAATTCTTTTAAACATAAACTATTAACTAAGTCTGAGGCTAAGATTGGATCCAGCTGCACTTAGACTCCTCTCTGAGGAGTTTAGAAAGCAAGTGGGTCCTTTCTGCACTTTGTGACACAACAGGAGGGTCTCCCCGGTAAACCTTGTCCAAAGCTTCCATTCTGCCCATGACAAAAGGGCCCACACTGGAGTAGTTAGGGAAGGACTGTATCCTGGCAGAACCACCCAAGCTGGCAAAAGGAACAGGAGGGAGGAAGGAGCAGCAGAGACAAAATGTTATGGAATGACCACAGTCCCCATTCCCTATCCGCTGCACTTCTCAGGGGAAGGAGGTAGTGGACTGGGAGGGAAGTGGAGCCTGGGAATAAGCAATGAGGGAGTAGGAAAGGTGTTTTTACTTTTGTTTTTGTACAAGGAATGAGGGAGTAGGAAAGGTGTTTTTGTTCCTTACTTATCCTAAGTCGAGTCTGTATGCCTATGACAGTAATTGTTGAGCAATCTCCCTGCACTATCTTGACTCACAAGCTTTTTCATTTTTATTTTTCCCCCTGTCCTACTAAAGAAGGGGAGCAAGAGCAGCTTGGTGGGTTCCTGCAGCTAGCCAAAGTTAACCCACCACAGAAAATACACCCGAGTAGGTGAGCTTTCCTTCATCAGTGAGAACATGCATTTTAAAAGTCAGCAAACAGTTTGTTTGAAATTAAGAATTTCAAGATGAAAACACTGATTGTTGTAAATTTCTCACTTGTAAATTCAAGCAAGTAAAACATGTAATATTCATTTAATTTCCGGGCATTTAACTACACTCTCTTCATTGAACCTTATTGAAACTATTCCATTCTGTTTGAAAGGCAAACCTTTTCAGTCAACTACAGTTACTGTCACTCATCACTACTGACAGTTCTGAGTTTTGTTTTGGTAGACTGGAGAGATAGGCAGAGCCAAACCCTTTGAAATTCAGCAAAGGCAAATGCAGGATTCTGCATCTGGGGAGGAATAACCCCAGGCACCAGCACAGGATGGGGGCTGACCTGCTGTGAAGAAGTTCTGCAGAGGACGTGGGGATACTGGTGGACAACAAAGTGTTCATGAGCCAGCAGTGTGTCCTTGCGGCCAAGCAGGCCAATGGTATCCTGGGGTGCATTAGGAAGAGCATTCCAGCAGGAAGAGGGAGATAATCTGGCTCCTCTGCTCAGCCCTGGTGAAGCCTCAACTGGAGGGCTGTGTCCAGTTCTGGACTCCTCAGGACAAGAGAGAAACGGAGCTCCTGGAGCAGGTCCACTGGAAGGCTACAAAGATGAGGGGACTGGAGCATCTCTCTTACATAGAAAAGCAGAGGGAGCTAGGCCCGTTCAGCCTCGAGAAGACTGAGAGGGGACTTTATCAATGATTTTTGTTTTGGTAGACTCATACACTTGGGTGTATGCTATATATTTGTTTGCAGTTTGATGATAGAGTGCTGTCCTCTTAACAAATGAGGGATGTCAAAAGTTATTCAAGAGGGTTAGAATGATGAGAAATCATAAGGTAATGGTCAAGATATCCCCAATGTTGACCCCTTACCAGAGGGGAGAGGAACCCCCCCCCACAAGCAAACAAACAAACAAACAAATCAATTTGAATACACTGGACTTACCATTTTGGCACAATATGCATTCATTGCATCAGCATATTGGAGCAACGCTTGGAATTGATTGTTCTTATGGAACATGACAATCTTCAAGACATATCCAAATTTAGAGAAAATCTGTTAAGGAAAAAGCACGGACTTTTAGACCCAATGAATAATTCATGCACTCTAAAAATTAGCATTTAATATTTCAAATAAATTTCTGAAAAGTATTTCTGTTCTGAGAGCTATACAAAAATTGAGTAAACTCAGAATATTGTTTCAGGTAAAAAAAAAATATTTTAAAAAAAGGCTACAAGAGGCGGGAAAGAAGGATAAAATTTCCTAAAAGATTTAGCAATAACTGATCAACTAAGAGCAGGGAAGGAGAGCCCAAACAGGCATTTCTCCAGTGTCTGCAGAGAAACTGTGGATAATGAATCAGAGTTGAGGTTTGACAAATGAACTTTCCCAAGTCGTAGAATCACAGAATATGCTGGAGTTGGAACTGACCCACAAGGATAATTGAGTCCAACTCATGTTTCTACGCAGGACTCCCCAATGATCACACCCTGTGCCTGACAACATTGCTCAAATGCTTCACCCATTGAGTAACATGGTTATCCAGCTGTGTGCTGGACATTTTGTTCCAGAAGTATCCTGTGAGAGACTGTACCAAAAACTTTGCTGAGGTCCAAAAAAATTACATCAGCTGGCTTTCCCTGATCAATCAGGTGGTTTACCTTGTTGTAGAAGGCAATCAGGTTTGATAAGCAGGACTTCCCTCTCACAAAGCCATGCTGGCTGTGACCAGTGGCTGCACTGTCCTCCTCAATACCTCCCACAATAATCTTTTCCATGAGTTCACCAGGCACTGAAGTGAGACTGACAGGCCTGTCATTTCCAGGGTCTTCCTTTTTGCCCTTATTGAAAAATCGAGACAACATTTGCCAGCTTCCAATCATCTGTGACTTCTCTGGATTCCCAAGAGAGCTCAAAAATCACTGACAGAGGTTTTGTGATTACATCAACCAATTCTTTGAGAATTCTGGGATGAATCCCATCAGGTCCCACAGATTTGTAGGGATCCAGTTGGAGCAGCAGATCCCACACAATTTTGGGGTCAGCTGGGAGTTATTCTCACTGTCGTGGTCCTCCAGCTCAGGGCACTGAGACCCTCTTGGTCCATCATCCATGTTGAAGACAGAGGCAAAGAAAGTATTAAACACCTCTGCCTTGTCTCTGTCCCTGTTTGTGTGGGGACCATCCTCATCCTGTAACAGTGATGATATTTCTATACTGCCTTTTGCAATTAACATACTTGGAAAAATCTCTTTCTATTGTCTCCCACATTTCTGGCAGCTTCAACTCCAGTTTAGCCTTGGCTGCATGAATTTTCTACCTACAGTGGCAAACAGCATCTCTGCATTCTTCCAATGTCCTCTGACCTTGCTTCCACTGGCCATACACCTTCCTTTTTTGCCTTATTTCTGAGAGAAGATCCTGTCTCAGCCAAGCTGGCCTTCTGCCTCACCTGCTTGACTTCTGACATTTGGGAATTGCTGCTCCTGTGCTCTTAGGGAGTGATGTTTAAAAAGTGACCAGCACTGATGGACACCAGCACCCACAAAAACATTTTCCCGAGGGACTTTACTCTGTAATTCCCTGAGCAGCCTGAAGTCTGCTCTCCTCATGTCCACAGTTGAGGTTTTGCTGGCACTTCTCCTCCTGTCAGCAGATCTTTTAAACTCAATCACTTCATGGTCGCTGTGGCCAAGACAGCCCCAATCTCCACTTTGCTCACGAGATCTGCTCTATGGACAAGCAGCAGATCAAGGAGGGTATCTTCCCAAGTCGGCTCCCTTATAGAACCTGTTCCATAAAGTTGTCATCCAGGTTTTTCAGGAACCTTCTGGCCCAGACTGCACCAGATGTGTGATGCTTTGATGCTTCCAGTTGTTTCTGGCAAGCTGAAGTCCCCTGTAGGGACAAGGGCAGTTGACTTGGAAGTGTTCCTTAAAGAATAATTCACTGGTGTCATTGTCCTGGCTGGGAGGTCTATAGCAGACTCCCACGGTGACATCTGCATTATTTGTTTGTCCCTGGATTCTCATCCAGAAACTCTCCACTGTGCCATTGCCAGCTGTGAACTCCACACATCCTAACCCTTCTGTTACACACAGTGCCACCCCTCTGCCTCTTCTGCCCTGCCTATCCCTCCTGAAGAGCCTGTAAACGTCCAACAGGGCATTCCAGTCACAGGTCTCATCCCACCAGGTTTCCCTTATGTCAGTGATGTCAAGTCTCTGGGACTGGGCCAAAGCTTCGAGCTCCTCTGGTTCATTCCTCATGCTGCGTGCATTGGTGTAGAAACATTTCAGGTGTGGGACATTGTAGCCAACAGCTCATGAAGCAGATTGACAGATCCCATTAATGCCCATTTCCTGAAGTTTGGCACACCATTCCATTGCTCATCACTGGCAAGTCTGGTGTTTCCCCCTTCCCAGCTAGTTTAAAGCTCTATCAATGAGCCCCACTAGCTCCTGTGCTAGAACTCTTGGGTTTCTTCTTTTTCCCCTCTGAGATAGGTGCATCCCATCAGGCGTCAGTAGGCCAGGTGTTGAATAGATCATCCCACGGTCAAAAAATCCAGAATTTTTCAAATTACACCACAGTGGGAGCCATGCATTGACCTGACAGATCTGCCTATTCCTATCAACATTATTCCTTGTTTCTGGAAGCTAGTTGAGATGGGAACGGCAAACTGCCTTTCAAGGTATCCACCTATACATTCTGTACTTCAAACAAATTCAGCAAATCTGTTAGCCAAAAATACAACTTAAATAGGTGATGTGTTTACAAAGATCCATTGTCCAAACTAGAAGACAAAGAGGAAAGGAGCAAGACAAAGACTTAGACTGGAACCAACTCACATACTTTACAATCAAATGGTATTTGATTTATTGCAAATGCAAACATTACAGAAATATTTTGAAAGGATGAAATTAAATATATATAGACGCAAAATGAGAGTGTGCACTACATGGAAGTGTCTATACAAAAGCAAAGCCACAAGGAGTGAGGACAAAATTAAAGCTAGGATATATCATTCAAGTACAGAAGAACTATGTCTAAATTAACAGTCAAAGAGGAAAGGTGAGCTTGTGAAATACTAACAGTTTTGTAACAAACTGTTAGAATCAATGCATAGTCAGGAAAGCAGAAACCCCTGAGAAGTATTAAACCTGCAATGGAAAGAAAGGCCATACATAACGATAAATATCTTTTGCCAGCCTAGAATCATGGGTAGAAGACCAATGTCCCAACCCTTTGTGCCCAGTCTTTCATTTCTCAGAAACAAGATTTTAAAGCTGCGGTCATCATTTTGTCATAGGAAATGGAACAGAAACCTTTCCACAGCTATTTAAAATTAGCCATTGATTTCCTGTTCATAAAGCACTTCCTCTTAAGAAAGGCCTAACTGCAGCTTCTCAACATACGCTTTTCCATGTTTATCCAGAAGACTAAATAGATCTTTTTAAGGTAATGAAATTCAATATACTCCTGCTTGGTTTTAAACCTAAATGCCCTGTATATATCAATTTTGTTTCTGCACAGATAAAACTGCATATTCTATTGCTTACAATAAATATTTTAAGGTAAATTGAGGTTTAAAAAGTTAATTTCTTGACAAGCAGTTATAACTTACAAAATAAAATTGAAGATTTGGATGACAGCTTGCCTACTAGCGTTCCATATGATGCTATACTTGATGCAAGTGTTCATTTGTATTAACCTTATCACACTTAAAGCAATGTTAGATTGTAGCTATGAGGCACAAAGCGCTGCTTTAATTAGAGGAGATTGCCCCCCGATAAGAACTGCAAATAAGATCCCTTTTCAAATATTGCTAAATTTTATAGACCTATTGCAAAAGTAGTTCAGTGAGGGTCACTGGGCAATTCAGAGACTGAAAATATCATTCTACTTTGCTGAAGTAAACTTTAATCATATTAAACTAACATGAATTTCCTCTTTGCTGTTGCACTGTTAAAACTAGCACAGTTCCCATAACCACAGAAGCTTGTTCGCAGGTTATTCTGAGTGCACTAATAATCCCAAGCAGTTGACATAGTACTTGTACAAGTTCAGTAACGAGTGAACAACACTCAAAGAAAGTTTAGATCAGGTAAATTGCTACATCAAAGTGAAAACTACTATACTAGTTAATGAGTATCATGGTGGGGAGAAACAGAGAAAGAGAAAATTCTAAGAGATAAGAAGAAAAATAAAGTGTTGCTAACAATCATCTATTGTTTGAGATCATAGTAGAGCAGGAAAAAAATCTTCCAGGACTGCAGATTCTTGTAAAATCATCCCAGTTATTTTAAATCACATTCGTTTCAGAAACTCCTATTTGGGGCATGTCTTTTCCTGTATAAATTTACTAGTAATTACAAAAGCTTTTCAGTACCTGTAAAAACATCAACAAATCTTTTGGGCACAAAGAAGTGGTCTCAAAGTTATTGTTTTTAAACTTAGAGCTCTCACCAGCATAACCCAAATACCTAGCAGAAGTTACAGTAATGTCTTTCATAGCTGTAGTCTACCACTATTCAGGGCTTTCAGAGGTAGTTAAATATCATTCTAGTAGTTGATGAACAACGAGAAACATTTGTAAAGCAACTTGCATTTTACATGACTTGCATTGAATTACAGAAGTGCATATAAGCCCCTAAAATATAATGCAAACTACTGACGTTACTCAGTACAAAGAGCGCTAAAATATGGATTCACAAGTTCATAACAATCAGTATTTCACTAGTTCATCATGGGGGCATAAATCAGAAGTAACAGTTCAAGTTCATTGCTGCTTCCAAAGAAAGGAAATGAGGTAAAAATGACAACGTGAAAAGCAGGGTACAGAAGCCTTGTTTACTGGAATTTCATCTGTGCAGAACTATTTCAAACCTAGATCTCTAAACTACAAGAAATAATTTTAAAGAGGCAGTCCTCACTCAAAAGATTAAGGATCCACGGGCACTTAAAAAAATAAATTCGTGGATTTACAACACCAACATTGGAACAGACTGTAATTTATCTTTTTTTTAAGCAATCCTCATTACCTGATACAGCATTTCTAAAGTGATAGGGTAAAAAACATTTTCAACAACGATTCGAAGAACAGAACCTTGACTTGGAAGGTGTCCACCTTCACCATCAAGAGCACTTGTAATAGCCAGGCTTCCATGCTGCACAGCATTCACACCTTGCAATGCAGCCTGGGGTCTCTGAAATGACAACACAGCAGAAAGCATAATTAATTTACATGCAAATTATCATACTGAAACAAAGGTCTCTTAGAAGAAAAGCATATAAAATGCAACTACAGAAAAAGGTAGTTCCTTCATATGATTGTTGATTCAGATCCCACATTAATAAAGGTAAATCATACCTCTTCCTTTCCATGCCCCTCCCTTACAACTGATCAGTGTAATTCACAAAATTACAACTTTTTTTTTAGTTAATTTGTTACTACTTTATAATGTCATAACCACAATTTTGCTTTAATTCAGTAAGGTTTTGACATTTATAGATTTTTCCAGCAATACTGTTGATGACAGTATTGATCACAATATTGTAATAGACTAACAACCAGTCAGTGCCCATAAAACTATTTGCTCTGCTTTTTGAGGATTTCATTCTCTTCAGGAACTGAGATTTGGTGGGGATAAGCTTAAAGGTGTATACTCTGCTCTTCTTTCAGAGTCAAGTTATCAACCACTCCTCCAACTGGAGTTTTGTCTCTACACTTGTTTTTCATGGCCTTCAAACCTCCTCTGAGTAGCAGAACTATGGAGACATGTTCCTTTCCAAATATAATGTTGTGACTTGAAATCGTCTCAGCTACACTGTTTTCTTGGAAGACAGACTAAACAGGGCACATCGTACAGACGTTCCCCAGTTTCAGAAAAAATATAACCCCGCAAACTAATCTGTACTTCAGGCCTGAGCCTAGACACTAGGATAGTAACACAGTGTTCAGCTGCTTTGCTAAGGTATGAGACTGAAATATAAGAATCATAAGTGCCCCCTCTCCAATTTTTAAAAGTAGACAATATTTTTCGAGAAGAAAGCAAGTGCTACGCACCAAGTTAAATACTCAGAAAGAGATTCAAGGAGTCTTATTTGCAAATATATGTATGGTTATATTTGGCTGTTACACAAACCACATCCTTAAAAAAAAAGCTTGCTGTTTATTTGTTTTTGCAGATTAAAAAAATCAATCCAACAATCTTGGATGACGAAACAGCCAAATAACATTTACCAGACTGACAAGCTTACAAGACTTCAGTGTCTTTTGTGTGAGCAAAAATTAAAAATGATTAATGATTTATGCTCCATCACTACTTGCAACATTCTTACAGAAAACAAAATCATGATATACACATTGCAGTATATAACTCAGGTAACTAAATGGGAGGTCAATTGAAAATCATCCAGGAATCCAAAAATCCAAACAGATTTCAACCATAATATGATGGTTTGTGTGGTCTGATCTTATTGTGCAAAGAGTATTTCCTTGCTTAGAGATTAGGATATAAATCACTCATCTGCATTTTTCAATTCATAGTCTTAAGAAATCAATTTTTAGTACTTCAGAACTACAAGGAAGAAATTAATTCTAGTGCTTGGCATGTCTACCAGGCTTCTTTCCAGCTGGTTAGCCATCAGTGTAAAGTGGTACCTGAGGTTACCCTTCAGGTGCAGGAGTTGGCATTTCCCTTTCTTGAACTTAATGAGGTTCCTCCTGCCAGTTCATTTCTCCAGCTTTTCAAGATCCCTCTGAATGACAGCACAACCATTCCATGTGTCAACTACTCCTCCTAGGTCTGTGTTGTCAGCAAACTTGCTTAGCATGTTCCCCATCCCATCATTCAAGGGATTAATGAAGATGCTAAACAGTACTGGACAAAGTATCAACCCCCAGGGCACTCTACTAGTGACTCAACCTCAACTAAACTTCATGCTACTTCAGAACCATTTTAGCCTTTTAAATCACCTCACAATCTACTTAACAAGACTGCATTTAATCAGTTTATCTATTGGGATGTTATTGGAAACAACACTGAAATTCTTGCCAAAGTCAAGATAAACAATATCCACTGCTCTCCTCTCATCCACCAAACCTGTCATCTCACCATAGAAGACCATCACATTTGTCAGGCTTTACATCCTTTTGAAAAACCCATGCTGACTTTTCCTAACCCCTTTCTTCTCCTTAGAACATTTGGACATGGTTTCCAGGTGAGTTGCTTCATTCCCTTCCTAAGGACTGAAGTAAGGCTGATCAGCCAGTGGTTCCCTGGTTCTTCCTTGTTGTCCTTTGTTAAGATAGGAGAGATATTTTCTTTTTTCCTAGTCCTCTGGAACCTCTTTCAACTTCTGTGACATTACAAGACCGTAAGAGTGGCATTGCAATGACATTGACAAGCTCCCTCAGCACTCACAACTGTATCTCTTTAGGATCAAAGACTTTTTGCTTATCCAATTAATTTAGATGTTCCCTAGTGAGATTCTTCTCTATTTCTTTCATCAAAACTTTCCTACTGTTCTCACTTGCTTGGTACTCAGTGGCAAGTCTTAACCACTAAAGGCTGAAGAGATGGCATCCAGAACTTCAGACTTTTCCATGTCCTTTGTCACCAGAGTCCCTACCCCCATTCAGCAGCAGGCCCACATATTCAAAAAAAAAAAAATCTTATTTCTAACTGCTGATACACTTTGAGGAGCCATACTTGCTACTTTTCACACCACTCACCAGAGACAACTCCATGTGATCTTTGACTTTCCTAACCACAACCCTGCATGCTCACATAATGCTCTATAATTCTCCTGGGGCACCTGTCCATGATTCTAACTTTCTAACCTCTCTTTCATGTTTAAGTTCAATCAGGAGCATCTTGTTCTTCCAGGCAGCCTTCCTGCCACCCTCACTTTGTTTCTTGCTCATCAGGAGCAAGCTTTGAGCTTGAGCTTGAGCTCCTCCACAGTAATTTTACAGATATTGAGAAGTCTCTGTCTGAAAGAAGTTACTGCTTAAATGAAAAGACAGGCATTATATATATCAGAAATTGACTACTGATGTGAAAAGTAGTCTATTCACTAATGTTGTGGTTCAACCCTGGTAGGCAGTGAAGCGCCACAGCTGCTCAGCCACCTTCCCCCAGCAGGATGGGGAAGAGAATTGGAAGAGTGAAAGGGAGAAAACCAATGGGCTGGGTTACAGACAGTTGAACAGGCAAAGCAAGAGTTGCACGTGTAAGCAAAGCAAAATAAGGAACTCCTTTACTATTTCCCATTGGCAGAAAGGTGTTCAGACATTTCCAGGAAAATACAGCTTCATTGAACATAACAATTACTCAGAAAGAAGGCCACAACTTGGAACATCTTCCCTTCCTCATCTTTCCCCCAGCTTTCTATGCTGAGCACAACATCATATGGTGTGGGATATCCCTTGGGTCAGTTGGGATCAACTGTCCCAGCTAGGTCCTCTCCCAACTTCTTATGCACTCACACTGGCAATGTGAGAAGCCAAAAAGGCCTTGATACTTTCTGTCACAAGCTGCTACAAGGAAAATTAACTCTGTCCTAGCCAAAACCAATACAGCATCCCGTTAAATGGAAATATTATACTTACAGCCTGATCATGTAGATTTTCAGTCTTAAGTTCTTTGTAATTGGAATACTGAATATAAACTGGCCGATTGTGGAGGTGAGGTGTAGCAGGAGTATAGTAGTTCACCATAGAAACAGCAGCTTCTGTAGAAGCCATTTCCAAAAATGCCTGTAACCAATACATAGCTCACTTCAGTGCTGTTTTTGTTTACAGGAGAGAACAAAGCATCGAAACATCATTTTTTCCCAATTCCACTCTCACTAGAAAAAGATGATGTGAAAGTAAAGTACTGGTTTGCTCAGCATTAAAATGCACTTGTGTGTGCATGTTTATGGGGTTTTGTGGGTTTTCTCATGAAGCTTTATATTGTAAGTACATTAAGTCATTAAAGAAGAGGTGGAATAAGTATGATATATGGGAAGCAACACCACTAAAAATACCACAATGCTAATGAATTTATTACATTTCTGAATCCAAGCATTATTACCTAGCTAGCAGATACACATACTGATTGAAAAAGTAGGAACAGGACACTAAACATCTATCAGTTTATGCATCATATTAACCCAGATGGCTCTAGACAGTTTTTTGAATGAATGCCTATTATTTTTAGGATTTCAGTGTTTATTCATGGTGTGAACTATTCTGTCACATCTAATAGAATTAAAAAGATGTTAAAAAATTAACAGGCATGTTAGTAACTTAGGCAGGCTATTTCAAGACATACATCTACATCAATAGAGAAAATGTAGTTCTTTATCACCCATATGTTCTTACCTAAAGTGGATATAATGTTTACAATATTATTAACAAGTTTCTAGATCATTATTTAATTCAAAGTATTAAGAATTTAAAATAAATTTCATAACATTCTTTCACATTTGAAAATATGAAAATCTTGAACTATCAATGAAATATTTAGACATTGTTGCAATCATTTCAGTCAAACGCAAGACCTAAATATGAACAACATCTTCAGCCTTGCCTTTGTAATTGAAACACTGAAAATTACATACCTGACCTTTTCCTTTTAGCATCAAGAAATTGGTTACTTTGCCAAAAGGGAGACCTAATGCAATGACTTCTGCTCCAGTAACATCACTTGGAATTTGACGAATATGAAGGACACGTGAAGGTAAACATTGTGATTTGCCCCCTTTGATTTTTTTCTTCTCATTGTCTAAAATGTTTTAGGGAAGGAGACAGACAAGCAAACAAGATAAACTTATTGCACAGTGTAGACACCAAAACCTAAAAAAAAAAAAAAAACAAACTGCTGTCTCAGCACTGACATTGACTTAGGTATAGCTCTTTGAACCGTAAGAAAAGACAGTTCATATATAACCACAGTACAGTGTAAGAAGACCTCATAAACTATTCCAAATATCAACTGCAATGGGAACGTGTGTTGTGTTTGTTTGGCTTTTGTTTGGGCTTGTTTATTTTCTTGTGGTTTAGCTTTGTGTTTTGAGGGTTTTTTTAAATTCTTACAGACACACAGGCCAATAACTTCTTCCCAAATGCCCACATAAAGTATTTACAAAGTGTTAGTTGCACAGTAGACGGGTAAGTCAAAACTGAGATGTAATATATTAAATTTTTTTAATCACTAACTTATCTTCCTGCGGCTGAGGTGTAAACTAAAAGGGTCTTTATTTATTTATTTTATTAAAGAAAATGTGCTGTTCCATATGATTTTAAGTTTTGAAAAGTCTTTGGAAAGGATGCACAGCATGGATTCCATACAAACTCTAAAGTTTTCTAGTTTGGCAAACTGCCTTTTTTTTTTAAAAAAACATGTGCCTATTTGGATCCTGTAACAGCTAAGTGACCAATGATTACTTTTCAAGGAGATGACTCAGAGTTCTTGAGAGCACTTTTACACAGAACATCACATCTGGAACAGGCATATTGTTCTAGAAGCAGTTGTAACAAAGGCAAGAGAGACAGTCTTAACACCTAATGTCTTGCATTTAGCCTTCCAATGAGAACAACAAAAGACGAGGAAGAAATATTTATATGAGCTTTACAAGAAACTTCAGATTTTGCTGTCCATTTTGAATGCAGTCTAAGGCTCAAAAGTGGTTTAAACAAGTCATTCTGTATTACAGAGGGTTCTTTTATTAGTGGAAGACACTAAAACTCCAAGTTAGATTATCTAAGCCCCAACCATGGCACACTCGTAAGCCAAGTTAACAATTCCCCCACCTGCAAAACAGAAAAGTCGATTATGCATTGATTTTTCTATCAAGAAATTTTATATGGCTTCATGTGCTCTATATGCATTTTGAAAATTGTGAATATCTGGTACACTTGTTGGGGATGAGACTAAAACAAACATGAACATATTAAACACTTAGCAGTACCAAGCCATGACAGGATATATTACTATTAAAGCCTAACGATCCATTCTATGTTTTACTTTTCAGGTTCAAAATGGACAAGATATCCTTGACTTTACTAAGTTACTTGACTTAAAGTTAACTTATGCAGCCATTGGCCATTAATACTTCAAGACCACCTATGCTGGAAGTACCACTAAAGGAAGCAGTTCCTAGCTTTCTCTCAGTTTCTTGTCTGATCTAAAACTATAGGTAGACATACACATTTGCCGCATCTTTCTCAACACATGAAGAGGGCAGAGCATAAGTTTCTTCGCACGGTAGTATAGTTTAACATGTCTGAAGAAACATGTGGCTGTGGTTTCACAGTGAGCCATCACATAGCTTTAATGAACCCAGTTTCCTTACCCTGCATCTGCCTATCCAACTTCCCACCACTTTCCCAACAAAACCCCATTCTGTTGGTTTTGCACTACATATCTGAACAATAATCTGTGTCAAATCTAGAAAACATCTGATCAGGAGAAAAAAAGTAGTATTTTTTTTACTGCTTTCCTTACAAAAACGTTACCATCCATCTCAACCCATGGAGAGATTGCCTGGGGACAAGAACTGGCAGCAAACATCTGAAACCAAATCACAGGACTGTCTGTGTTGCTCCTCAAAAAGTTCTAGAGGTAGTGTAGAAAGCAAGAACAAGAACACCAAGGGGAATCAGCTGAATTTTTTATCGTGAATCCACATAATGTTCCTTATGTTCCACCAAACTCAGATGGGTGTCTTTGTAATCCTGACAGCATTGAAATACTTCAAAACAAATTCCTTTCAAGCATTCAACTACAGGAAAATTGAATAGGCATTTGACAGTCTGTATAGAAGGTATTTGATTGATCATGATTATAGAAAACAGATTTTTTTTTTTT